CTACTGACTCAGTCTTAAATGCTCCACAAAGTGGCTGCTTGGAGGCCTCTCTGATGATTTTATGTGTTTTTCATTGAGAAGGTTGCAACCAAAGGAGAGTGGTGTCCTGGAGGTCTTCCAATCAGGTTTTAAAAACGTTCATAGCACGGAGTCAGCACTCTTAAAGGTTTTTAATGATATCCTCCTTTCCTGTGACTCTGGTAATCGTGTTGTTCTTGACCTAACAGCTGCCTTTGACACTGTAGACCACAACATTTTACTGACTCGCTTGCACCATCTTGCAGACATTCGTGGTACTGCTTTGAAATGGTTTAGGTCTTATCTTTCTGACAGAACTTTTAGTGTTAACCTTTCAGGGTATGAGTCCTCCTCTGCTGCCTTTCAGTCTGGGGTCCCACAGGGCTCAATTTTAGGGCCTCTGCTTTTTTCATTATGTTTACAGCCCCTGGGAACCATCCTCAGAAGGCATGGAATATCCTTCCACTGCTATGCTGACGACTGTCAGATTGATCTGCCTCTGAAGCAGAACGATGCCTTCTCTATTAAGCCACTTCTAGCATCTCTAGAAGACATTAAATCTCGGATGTCCCTAAACTTTCTAAGATGTAATTCAAGCAAAACTGAGGTGATTCTGTTTGGTCCTAGTGGACCTTGTGAACCTTGTGTATTTTAAACCTGTTGTTACTAACCTGGGTTTTAAGATGGACAGTGATTTTAAATTAGACAGTCAAATTAGGGCTACTGTCAAGTCCAGTTTTTATCATTTAAGGCGCTTGGTAAAGATAAGACCTACTTTATCCAGGCTGCATTTTGAAACCGTAATCGATGCTTTTATTCCATCTCGTTTGGATTACTGTAATGTGCTGTATTGTGGAGTTAGTCAGCATCTTCTCTCTCGTCTGCAGCTGGTCCAAAATGCTGCTGCACGACCTTTAACCAGAACTCGCAAAAGAGAGCACATAACTCCCATCCTGGCTTCACTCCATTGGCTGCCTGTATAATTACAAAATGTTTTATGTAAGATTTATGTTTTGTGATTTATCACGTTCGGTGTGAACACAGTTCATTTAAAATTCTCATGTTTGTTTTTAAATGCTTAAAGCAGGGGTGTTAAACTCATTTTAGTTCAGGGGCCACATGGAGAGAAGTCTATTCTCAAGTGGGCCGGACTGGTAAAATCATTGTGTATATAACTTAAAAACAACAACTTCAGATTGTTTTCTTTGTTTTAATACGATCAACATAAAAATAAAGCTAGAGCCTGTGTTCAAAGTAGTACAGGCACAACATACAGTAGCTATTAATCATAAAACACCTCAAGTTATTTGAAAATCCTGAGGACAAAGAACAAGCACACAGTGCCTCAGTGATTCACAGAAGTATATCACAGATCACAGAAGTACATCAGGGTGTCTCGTGCAGCACTTTCAGTGGGGTTGCATAGTTTATTTGACTCCTGATACCTGGCATCTTTAGCTTTCACCAGCTCATCAATATCAGGCTTCACATCCTGAGCAGCAGCTAACTTCAGGATGTGATTCGAGTGCCTGTGCGTGAGCCTTGAGCGCAGTTTTGTTTTATTTATGCTCATTACAGAGAAAACTTGCTCACAAAGATACGTGGTTCCCAACATGCACAATAGTTTTGCAGCGAGGGCATCAAGTTGGGGTAACCAGGCAGGAGATTCTGATAGAATGTGTTCAAGTCAGCTGCAGCAAATTTGCCCTTCAAATCCGAGTCACGCTGCAAGTCTGTTATTTCAAGTTGGATGCTGACGGGCAGATCAAAAGGATTCACGGTGAACGGCGAGCACAAAACTTTGAAGTCTTTCTCCAGTTCACCAAAAATCTGAAATCGTTGCTCAAACTAGTAACAGTCCCGTTATTTTATCTTTGAACCGCTTCATATCCGCAACACTTTGGAAGTGAGCTGCATCACCACCGGTGGGCTGCGTCTCCCACAATAACAGCTTCAACTTGAAATGCTGTCATGATACTGCGTGACAACTTTGTTGCGTCCTTGCAGCTGTTTGTTCAAGTTATTCAGGTGCTCTGTAACATCCACCATAAATGCAAGGTGCTGCATCCATTCTGCAGAATGAAATTCTAACACTGGTTTCCAGTTTTCTTCCATAAACTGTTCAATTTCTTCTCGTAAATCAAAGAAACGCCTCAGCACAGCACCTCGGCTCAGCCATCTTACCGCAGTGTGGTATGGCAGGCCATAGATGTGGTCTTTCTCTCTGAGAAGACTGTCAAACTGACGCTGATTGAGGCTTCTGGATGAAATTAACAGTTTGGATGACCACCTTCATGGCGTTATCCATTTTCAGTGACTTGCAACACAAAGCCTCCTGGTGCAAAATACAGTGAAAAGTCCAAAAACCACGTCCTCCATTTGCAGATTGCACTTTATCTCTGAACCTTTTTACAACGCCTGCTTTCTTCCCGATCATTGAGGGCGCACCATCTGTAGCCAGGCTGACAGCACGGGACCGGTCCACTCCGACCTTGTCCAACGCGCCGACAAGTGCGGTGAAAATATCAGCTGCGGTCGCTGTATCTGTCATCGGTACCAACTCCACGAACTCCTCGGTGACGGTCAATGTGTCATCAACTCCGCGGATGAAAATTGCCAGTTGTGCAACATCTGTAATGTGCCTTCATCAATTGCAACTGAAAACACAATAAATGACTATTTTTTTGTCCAAATCCGCTGAAAGATCAGAAATCCTGTCGGCAACTGTGTTTCCTGTCAGGCTGATATTTGCAAAGGCCTGGCACTTTGCAGGGCACACAATCTTAGATGCCTTCATCATACATGTTTTTACAAATTCACCCTCACTAAATGGTTTGGAAGCTAGTGCAATTTCGTTAGCAACGAGGTAGCTAGCTTTCACTGCAGCGTCACTGATGTCTCGGCTGTGAGTAAACACAGACTGCAGTTTCTTCAGACCCGCCAACAGTTCATTCACCTTCTCTCTTCTCCGCTGTCCTTGAAAGTTGTCATATTTGTCGGCATGAAGACTCACGTAGTGGCGACGGAGGTTATATTCTTTCAGCACTGCAACATGCTGGGAACACACCAAGCATACAGCTTTCACTTCCGTGAATAAATAGGAGGATGACCAGTTTTCTTGGAACACTCTGCACTCTGCATCCACTTTTCTCTTTTTGACAGAGACATATTGGGCCAATGAGGGTGCCAAAGCACATCGGGTTTAAATTTCGCGGGCAAAACAAAGTAGCTCACAATTGCTATTGCGCCATCCAATGGACACAATTGGAACAGCAGTTTCTTTATTGAAAAATTGCTGCTCATTTTTATACTTTACAAAATCAACTCACGGGCCAGATTAAACCCGTTTGTGGGCCTGATCCGGCCCGCGGGCCGTACGTTTGGCACCCCAGGCTTAAACGGTCTTGCCCCAATTTACCTCTCTGAGCTTCTTCGTCCTTACCCACCCCCCAGGTCTCTCAGGCCAGCTGACAAGCTGCTCCTGGAGGTACCCAGGTCCAAGAGGAAGCTCAGAGGGGGCGGAGCCTTTCCTGCCTCAGCTGAGGTACCCAGGTCCAAGAGGAAGCTCAATTCTAATTATCATTTTATACTATTTTATTATTGCTTTTGCTATTTGTGCCAATTCTACTGTTTTAAATATTATTTGAATTATTTAAAAAAAAAAAAGATGATATGTTTCCTCTATTTATATTATTTCTTTTTTGAACTTGTTTAATGTATCAAGTGTACAGCACCTGAAAGTGCTTTATAAATACATTGCTTTCTTGCTAGTGTTAAAGAGTACTGCACTGATTCAGCTAAAAGGTGATGTGTTGCAGGCGTGTTTCAGGCGTGTTTCTGGTGTGTTGCAGGCGTGTTTCAGGTGTGTTTCAGGCATGTTTCTGGTGTGTTGCAGGCGTGTTGCAGTCATATGACAGGCGTGTTTCTGGTGTGTTTCTGGTGTGTTGCAGTGATATGACAGGCGTGTTTCTGGGGTGTTTCAGTCGTGTTGCAGGCATGTTACAGTCATGTTTCAGGCGTGTTGCAGGCGTGTTTCTGGTGTGTTTCAGGTGTGTTTCTGGTGTGTTGCAGGCGTGTTTCAGGTGTGTTGCAGGCGTGTTTCAGCTCTGTTTCAGGCGTGTTTCTGGTGTGTTGCAGGCGTGTTGCAGTCATATGACAGGCGTGTTTCTGGTGTGTTTCTGGTGTGTTGCAGTGATATGACAGGCGTGTTTCTGGGGTGTTACAGTCATGTTTCAGGCGTGTTGCAGGCGTGTTTCTGGTGTGTTTCAGGTGTGTTTCTGGTGTGTTTCAGGCATGTTGCAGGCGTGTTGCAGTCATATGACAGGCGTGTTTCTGGGGTGTTTCAGTCGTGTTTCTGGGGTGTTTCAGTCGTGTGACAGGCGTGTTGCAGGCGTGTTACAGTCATGTTTCAGGCGTGTTGCAGGCGTGTTTCTGGGGTGTTTCAGTCGTGTGACAGGCGTGTGACAGGTGTGTTGCAGGTGTGTTTCACTTGTGTTGGAGTCATGTTAGAGGTGTGTTGCAGGGGTGTTGTTGGCATGTTGCTGGTTTGATTAACATGTGTTGTTGGTGTGTTCAACATGTGTTGGAGGTGTATTACAAGTGTGTTGTCGACATGTTGCTCATGTGTTTCAGTTGTGTTGCAGGCATGTTGTTGGTATGTTGCAGGTACTTTGTGTGTTGACCTGCAGGTTTCAGGAAAGTGTTTGTGAGTGTTTTTATTCCAAGCTGGCAATAATTTTAATGTCAGGATGTCTTCATGCAGCGAGCTGCACTGATTGGTCATCAAGCTGTGGTTCACTGTCCTCTCTTGTGATTGGTTGATGTGTTGGGCTGGTCCATGGTACACAGCCAGAGGTCCGTCCTGATGAGGCGTCTGCAATCAAAACACCACAGAGACTGTTAAAAGCAGCTCGTCATGTTTGCTCAAAGCTTGAAGCACAAATGTTTTGGTCCTTTTAAACTTTATCGTTTTGCTGTTGCAG